ATACTATTTGGACGCCTATCATGATCATAGAACAAGTATCAACACAAAAACAATTATGTAAGTTGAAATTTCTCTTGAAAGGCAAAACCCAAACCAGCTTTTCTATCATGAGAATTTTAACATATGTATTCCTAAAACAAGGTGCTGACTAGATCTTTGCAAAACTGAAAGGACACAAGGCATTGTAACTTAGAATGAAGTGTTTCAATTAGGATAGCAATTCCAGAAAGAAGTGTTTTAACATTAACGTAATTTGCTCATAGCAACTCTGAGTTATTTACTTAGTGGCACCTTCACACTATTTTCTACTTTATCTCCAGTGTGCTTAGATAAAATAATCTGGACAGAGAGAAATAGGTAATCTTTGTGCTTAAGGTATAGAGAGGCAATCCAAATCCCATCTGCTGTTATGCATTAAATATATAGATATGAAAGCATATATGAATAGGAATTGTTTGTCTTTTAATCAAGCAAAAAGGAGAAAGAAAAATGCACCTAACTAGGAAAACCATGAGTGAACAGTCTGGGACTGGCTACTGAACAAGCTTGCATATGACTGTTGGAGAAAAATCTGCAAGATAGAATTCCTGAATTCATTTTCATCACACTTATGACTTAATAAGTTTTTCTCCCTTCTCACTTGGTCCTTCAGGACAAAATGAACTTCATTTTCCCCAGTCAAGTGGGACACCAGAGGGCTTCAGTTTCCAAAGGTTATTACACTGACTGCAAACCCAGATCAAGCAAACAAGGGCCTGTTTAGTAGTACTCCATGGACAAGGCCTCAAGACAGAGAAAATAGCTTAATGATGGTAATTGGGACTGGCAACTCCATTCCTAAGCAATACAATTATAACGTTCAATATCAGGTGAGTGTACCAACTTGCAATGGCAATTCTGGCAGTCCCAGTTGCTGTCATTAGGTGAATCTGGTGCAGTTACAGCATCCTGCGATCATATAATCACCATCTGCAACTTTCTGACAGCTTTCCCACTGAATTTGCTTATCAGAAACTAGCAGTGAAGATAGTAAATAGCAATCATATGACTGTGGGATGCTGTGATGTCATAATCGACAGGCTGTTGCGAAGTGCCTGAATTACCATCACATGACTGCAGAATAGGGGTGGGGAACTACAGTATGGCCCTTTTATGACTTATGGACTTCAACTCCCAGAATTCCAGAGCCAGCATGGCTCGTTCAGGAATTCTGGGAGTTGAAGTCCACAAGTCATAAAGGGGCTGTAGTTCTCCACCTCTGCTGCAGAAGGACTGTAACAGTCACAACTAAGGACTGTCATTAACTCCCACTTAATTAGTGCTGTTGTAGACTTAAGCAGTCATTGAACGAGAGAGGAGTTCCCACTACCTGTATTTATGACTGAGCAATAAGGAACTACACAAATACAACAGGACTGGTTACAAGTTGATTACCGTAGTCCTCAATTTACTATCCCAATTGAGCTCAACATTTATGTTGCTGAGTGAGACAGTTAAGTGAATTTTGCCCCATTGTATGACCTTTCTTGCCACAGTTGTTAAGTGAATCACTGCAGTTAAGTTAGTAACACTGTTGTTAAGTGGAAATGGCTTCCCCGTTGACTTTACTTGTCAGAGGTTGCAAAAGGTGATCACATGACCCTGGGACACTGAAACTGTCATAAATATAAGTCAGTTGCCAAGCATCTGAATTTTAATCACGTGACCATGGGGATGCTGCAGCGGTTGTGTGAAAAATGGTCATAAGTCACTTTTTTCAGTGCCATTGTAACTTTGGTCCCTAAGTGAACTATTGTAACTCAAGGACTACCTGTATAAAAAGGGAACACGTTTAAATAGATTCTTTATGCTGCATCACATTTGTTAAATGTCAAAACCACAAATTTGTATTAATTCTAATTCTCAGATCAACTTCCTCTTGAAATCTAACTGCTAGCAGAGTTACAATTATGCTACAAGCTTGTTAATTAATAGTTGCTGTATTTAAATTTCTTGCTATGCACAGGACCTGCATGAAAAAAAACATATTAATATTCAGACTGCTTACATTCTTTTACAACTGTTTTGCACAAAAGTGTTATTTATTTTATTTTATAAATGTCCTCTCTCAACAGATACAACTATTTAACTGCAATTCCTGCACATCCAGCAATAACTTAGTTTTCATCTAAGTAGCTGTTTTGGTTTGCCAATTCAAACCATTTTGAGCTGCTTTTTAAGCCCACAGTCCTCCCAAGCTGTTTTGTACAATTATTCAGGAACTGAAATGCATATGTGAGCACCAACAAAACTATTTTTACACACTCCCAAATCTCTATCATAATAAATTACCAGGATTTCATGCACAAAGACAGGCTGACCTTGATCCCTATTGTTATATTTCCCATAATCCTGTTTTCCAGCCTTGAAAATATAACAAGTGCATGCATTATCCAGACATGATTTCCTTTGGAATGAGGTCACTGGAGGTTGATGGCTTTGCTTCTTTGTCTTAATGCGAGGGGGTCATTTAAAGTTTATTTATGCATGTCTACAGGAGCTCAAAGTAATCACGTGCCAAATAGATATTGCTATCCATTTGATTTTTATTTTTTTTGCAAGCTCCTGCATCCTAAACATACTTCCAAAGCAGTATAACTTAACTGCAATGACTAGAAACTGTTCTCACTTTACAGATCTTAAAAGAACAGCACAGAAGGCTTAGGCCTTTTTCCTAATGCCATAGCCCTTTTTCAAATATTTCCCCCAATAAAAAATAAATGCAGCAGGCTGCTCTGGGGTAATATTGGTTTTCCAACACAAAAGTTTAGTTCAGGCTTATTCAGCTATCCAGCTTGGATCCAGAACAGATGTGGTACTCTTTGAGCAACAGAAACCATAAAGAGCAAGACCTGCAACTTACTGGTAACAAAAGGCTGTACAGTATCTTTTAATATAATGCTTTTTGGAACTTGGAAGCCTGCAGAATAGGTGGGACCAGATTACATGTGTGGGCAGGACTGAACTGCTGCTGAGTGTTTTGGAGCAGTGGTGTGTTTATTTTAGGACTTATATTACAGGGTTTCTCTGTTTTTCAACTCAAAGGGCAGGAAATGGTGCTGTCAGTTTGCAGCCATCATAGACAGCAGGTGATTTTGAAAGCTGTTCAGGCACTGCATGGGTGCACTGTTGCAAAGCAACAATCTAGCTTTGCTCTGGTTTCAACTAATCTAATCATTTATCTCCCCCAAAGAGTCGACATTGTGAAATCAAACATGCCTGTAGCTGCTTCTGAAATGTAACCAGAGGCCTTGTGTTGAGATGTCTTATGTAAAAAAAATGGACGATCTATAATTAATCTTATCTACTGCAGTATGTGATAAAACAAGCTAACCTGAAACAGTGATTTCCAATTTTTACTTCGTTTTAAACCACCAAGATCCATCACATTTCCAGTAAGCTGAAACGGTTTAGATAAAAATAAACCAGGTTTAATGGGAAAAGGAAATAAAAATACTGAATATCCCTATTATATAGGCCAGTGGATGTTGGAGAAAGGAAACATCTGATCTTAAAAGCACTTGAGACTGAATCATAATTTTAATCCAGTTGGGAGATGCTTTAGAAGCTTCTGTTTAGAAGATGTTGGTGAATTTCAATAAATCTTATCTACAATTATTATACCTCTCCAAAAAGTTATTTTGTCACTAATGTAATGGATTAATAGAAGGTATAGATCACTATATCACATATTTGGTATTTTTTAATGTTTTGATAACTATATTTGTGTACAATTGTTTTCCTTTGCAACAGTCTGTAGCTATGTATTTTACTTTATCTACATTTTTTTCTGAAAGGGCTCTTTTAAGTTTTACCAGACTCTCAAAGAGGGTTAGTTCCCTACGATTCCCAAGGCATTCCTGTTGTGTACTAACATAGTAAAATAAAAAACCTCTAAAAGATGCTACAGATACTAACTTATCTTAGTTTGCTGAACTTTGCCTCTATACAGTGGAAAGGGTGGTTTAGTTTACTTTCCTCTGACTAGTCATTTGTATTCTTTTATTAGCTGGGTTCACAGTTACAATTTTATTTATTTATATCCTCTGCTTTTATTGTTTTTATAAATAACTCAGGAGGCGAGCATATCCTACACACACCTTCCTCCTCCTATTTTTCCCACAGCAATAACCAGGTGAGGTGGATTGGCTGAGAGAGAATGCCTGGCCCAAAGTCACCCAGCTGGGTTTCATGGCTAAAGGCTGAATTAAGAGTTGCCTGCAACAGTGCATAGGTGTTGCCACATACATACGCTGCCAAGGGATTGATGGATAAGCATAAATTGCAGATCGCTGCAGACGGGGTGGTGCATACATCTCCCAAATACCAATTGCAATTGTGAGGAGGTGCATGTCCTGCACGGTGATTGGTTGATCCAACTTCCTGTTGTGTGCTCTGCTGTTTTGAGCACTCATAGCCAGAACGAACATTTGCAGAGTATAAGTGCAACAGCTGTGCAACTGTATTCAAACAACGATGCGTATGTTTCCTGATGTGCGGTGCTAGAGAAGTCTGCTCGATCCTTAAGCTAGGACTTGAACTCATGGCCCTCTCTTTCTAGACTAGTGCTAATCTTAACCACTAGATTAACAAACCAGCATTGACCGATTGACCCAAACCTAAATGATACATGAAGCATGTCATCAAATTGGGTGATGAAGAGAAAGAAGCAAAGTGATGTAAAACCTTACTTAAAATTATAGCAACCGCCTTTTGGATTCCGCTAACCACGTACAAACCATAATTTAAAATATGACCGGATTCTCACACTGCTCAAAACCCCAACACGGTTTAGTCGATTTTGGCTTGGGGAAAAAAAAAAAGTTTTGTAAGCAGGAGGCGTTACCCTAATCTCTCCTTCGCTTTCTCTTCCGTCTCTCTTAAGCACGTCCCGAAATTTGGTGAAACTCCGCCAAGCTTTCTTCTTTCCCGCCCCTTTCTTTGGGCTGCACCGCCCCCCTTTTATCTTTCCCAATAAAAACGCAAAGCAGCGCCCTGCGTACTAGGGCTAGTAGTAACGCTACCTAGTAGTGAGATCGCGTGCATTTTCACCGAACTCTTATGGCAAATCCGGAATTGTCTCCGCTGCCTTCCCCGGCTAAAGGGGGGCACCCTCCCGCAGGTAAGGAGAGGCTGCTTAGAGAAAGAGAGGGGGGGCAGGGGAGGGGGAACCTGTGACGCAGTTCTTCAGTGAAAGTTTCTTTCTTTTGGAGAAAAGGGGATTCTTCCCCCCCCGCCCCCCAAAAGCTAAGATTTACTGAAGGAGAATGAGGCGGCTCCAATCTTCTCCATGACGGCTTAAGCTTGTTACTTTGCATGGACTTGCCAGTTCTTTAAAGCCTAAAGAGCCATCTTCGTCTGCACAATAACAATGGGGGGGGGGGGGGAGAGAGAAATGTGAAAGTATACGCTAGATATATGACGCTTTCACCTCCCACCTCCCCCCAATCTGCTCCGCCAACGTCAGGTGAAGCTGCAAGGGTCTCTGTTGCCCCCTTCCGCCCTCCCGGGATGCCGTTCTCCCTCGTCTGGGTTCACTCTCTTCCGCACAACAAGGGCCAAAGTACAGCCTTGTTTTGCTTGGGTTTTATTCAGGAGCAGCGGAGCGCCGGTGGGGGGGGGGAAGGGCGGTGCTTTGATCTTTTATGGCAGTGTTTCTCAACCGTGACAATTTTAAGGCATGTGGACTTCAACTCCCAGAATTCCACAGCCAGCGTTGCTGGCTGTGGAATTCTGGGAGTTGAAGTCCACATGCCTTACAATTGTCAAGGTTGAGAAACACTGTTTTATGGCGACTGCGGTTTACGACCCGAGCCCTTCACTTTCCCTCCGCCAGCCGCACCATCCAGGCTGCGGCTCCTCCCCTTTTCCTCTCAGGGGCTGCGTTGTTGTATTCGGGCTTCTTACGCGTTGGCTCGGGGAGGCGCAGCTGTTGTTTCCATCCCAGATGTTTTGAAACGCGAGCCTTTGCATTTTCCACAGTCCTTCCCCTTGGGAAAGGACCCAGGTTCTCTAGCTAGCTAGCAGGACATATTTGGATCGCGGTTAGGCCGCAAACGTCTTTTAAGTCTTGCAGCTAGGGCCACACGTGCGCTTTCTGACTTGAGCTTCTTCACGTGCGTGTGGTTTTAGCCTTGCACCTGGGTTTGATCTGGTTAGCGACTGAGATACATCACTAGTTGGCTAAGTGTGGTAGTGGCTTAGTTTAATGGTTACCTGTGATTCACAAAATAACTTTGAATGGAGTAGGAAACTGAGTTAGCTGCCGGTAGCAATTGCCTAATGTTTCCTCCAACTAAAATTCCACACCAACAAGAAAGCTGTATTGGCAGCCCCTATCATTCCCCAGAAATCAAAAGCCAACATAAAAATGCCAAAGGAAGGCAAATTGGCTGATCTTACTCCTGTTTCCACCAGTAAGTGGATCTGAAAGATTTTAAACTGTAATTAAAGTAGAACTATGTGAGGGTGCAATGTACTTCAAGTGTAACATAGTAAGTCATACCGCAGTTTGATTTTGGCCTAAGCATTGTGTTAATCATGCTACAGTACTGTGTATAAATTATGATATAGTTCAGTGGTGGCGAACCTATGGCACGGGTGCCAGAGGCGGCACTCAGAGCCCTCTGTGGGCACGCGCACCATCGCCCCAATCCTAGACTTCATCTGGATTTTATAAAACCTTTTCATTTTAGGCCTCCGCCGCCATGTGCAAAAAAAAAAAAGATTCAGTCAATTTCAACTTCTCGCGGGGAAAAAAAAAGAACTTGCAAAGTTGGAATTGATTGATTGAACTTTTTAGTCCCACCCAGTCTGCCGTTACCACCGCAGGTACGCCCAGTCAATGGGCCACGCCCAGTCAATGGGCCACACCCACCCGGCACTCGACGATGCATAAGTGGGTTTTGGGTTGCAGTTTGGGCACTCGGTCTCTAAAAGGTTCGCCATCACTGATATAGTTGTATAATGTCCAAACTGGGATTGCACTACACAGAGATTAAAGTGTGGGTAGTTTGTCTTGATGTGACTTGTTTATTCAGACAGCTACCGTCTTGTTTATCCAGACAAACACAGTCATATAGTCAATGATAAGATAGCACTGATAGTGAGTTGCAGCAGTGATACTATGTGAACACCCTTTCCCCCTTCCTCATTGGTTGGGCAAGGAAAAATGGGTTTGGCTTGAACATAGCAGCCAATCAGTGTTGTATATTGTAAATCTTTTTTTAAAGACAATATTGTTTCCTTGAAGAACTTAGTGGGGATTTTGTTCTTGTACCCCAATCTGACCAAGGGAGGATTTTTTTATTAAATTGAATTAATCAGGATTATGGATGTGTATAGCATGCAGAACTTAGAAGTTATCTGTTGACTGTGTTTATTATTAAATTTATTTGCCACCCATCTTGCCGCAAGAGAGACAATGTTGTCTGAAGGCAGGTGATGTGGGGTAATTCAGCAAACTGGGTCAGTGTGCTGTGCAACTATCAAATATAGTTGCTTGTCCAAAAATCAGTTTAGTCTAGTGATTAAGGCACCAGGCTAGAAAGACTCTGAGTTCTAGTTCTGCCTTAACCCTAATCCTGAAAGCCAGCTGGGTCAGTCTTTCCCTCTCAGCCCAACTCACCTCACAGGGTGGTGATTGTGGAGAAAACTGGAGGAGGAAGGAGTGTTAAGTATGTTTGCCACCTTGAGTTGTTTATAAAAATAATAAAGGTAAGATTAAAAAATGTAAAAAAAAATAGTTAAAAATTATAATTTGTCAATTCAGTAGTACAAGTTAATGTTAAACTGTGGGCCAGTCACTACACTATTCTTCATCCTATTCTTTATTCTTCCTTACAGCAAGGAAGCTGTAAATACTGTCCTGAGACACGTAGCATAAGAGTGGAATAAAATGTCTTTCAATTTAACATTGTTTAAACATGCTACTGATTGATCAAGAATTGCAAATATCATAGCTTTATTCTCTGATATAAAAAAGCAACAAAGGACTTTCCAACTTTATTTAACTGAATTCTTCCTGAATACTGCATCCTAATATCTTCCATTCCCCTTTACATTTGGGAAACCCTTACATTCGAATTACCTAAATATAATTCTTAGTGGATCAATAAAGCAAATCAGTACTGTAATTATTTAGTCCCAGTGCTATTGCTGCTTTTGAATTTCCATAGGTGGGAGGAATCAGTTGAGATTCCTAAACCAGCAATCTATTTTTATAGTAAATTGATGAAATGGATACTGTTTACATGATTTTGGAGCCCTGAGGTTGAATAATGGAAGGTTGCTTTAAAAATGTGGCATTAGTTTATTTTTTAAAAATAAAATTATACTTCCAGAAAAACTACAGGCAGCCCTTGACTTACAACAGTTCATTTAGTGACCATTCAAAGTTACAACAGCACTGAAAAAAGTGATTTATGACCATTTTTCACAGTTACGACCTTTGCAGCATCGTCATGATCATGTGATCAAAATTCAGATGCTTGGCAACTGGTTCATATTTATGACCGTTGATGTGTCCCAAGGTCATGTGATCACCTTTTGCGACCTGACAAGCAAAGTCAATGGGGAAACCAGATTTAGTTAAGAACCGGGTTATTAATTGATCAACTGCAGTAATTCAAACAACTAAGGCAGGAAAAGTCATAAAATGGAACAAAACACACTTAACAAATGTCTCACTTAACAACAGAAATTTTGGGCTCAATTGTGGTTGTAAGTCGAGGACTACCTGTATTTCAGGTATAATTGGATACCCCCCAAAATAATACTATAAACCTTGGTGGCAATGTCTTGCTGTTGAAAATACAAACTAGGTGTTAAAATATTCATTCATATGCTCTAGTTGTGTCCTACCAAATTTTTATTTGAAATTAAAAAAAAAATGACTTAGTAACATGACTTAGAACAAATCAGGGCAGGGTAAGAACATAGCGGTTTGGTGTGGATATATCTCCAGCACTTGGACTTTATTAAAATATCAAGAACTGGATTTTTACAAATAGATGATGGCCAAAATAAATATATACAATAATAGGAAAAGAAGTCTAAATCTGTTTTGCAACAGCAGATTATTAATATGTGTTTTTGGCAATATACTTTAGTTGTTTGAGATAAGGAAGAACACTTCACAGAAAGTAATTTAGTTTTGGATATTTTTCATGTTAATTGTAAAATCATGTTAATTGTAAAATCCTTTAAGTTGAGACTAAATCTTGATGATTTTTCAGACACATCTGTGTAGTTTTCTTGGTCATATCCCAGATTTTAAAAAAATATATATTTTCCAGATTAGCTTATAACCTTGAGCTTGTTTGGTAGTTTCTCATCCAAGTAAGGCCTATCCTTACTTAGTTTATGGATTTAAAAAGATCAGAAAAGTGGTGTCACATGCTGAAATCCTGTTAATAGACACCTGCTAAGTAGGAAAAATAGAAATGCATGAAGACAATGTGATATTGGGATCTGGACATTGTCCAAAAGACAAAGAGATACTTAGTTGTTTCTTGTGGAAACATGTAGCAATTAAATATTTAAGTCAATTTAGAACATCAAGTAACTGCAACAATACATTGCATTTAAAATAATATTTGTTTGCTGAAGTCTTATTTTCTTTTTCTGCCCAGAAGGTAGTGCCTTAAAAGAAAAATCCAGATGTCACACCAATAATTCAGAAGAAATAAAACATTTAAAAACGCTGCTTTAAGAACCTTGACAAAAACAGATTACATGGTACCAAAAAATATTGAGGTACCTAGTGTACATACTCATACATTCTCTTCTCTCTCCTTTGTTAACCCTTAGTCAGCCCTTAGTCAAGTTCCTCAACTGACATACCATTTTTTAAAACTTTCTCTCTTTTTTCCTTAGACAAAATCTAAATAATATATCTCTTTCCTGGGCAGGGGCTTTTTCTCCAGTACAGCACCAGCACAGTGTGTTGTCATGTGTTCTCCTGTACACAACTAGCTACAGGTCCTGTTTGAGTTAAAGTTTCATTAGAATGGAATCCTATTTGTTGCACACTGTTAATATTTTCCAGGTTAATTTTTATCAACTGTAAACTATAATGACCCATGCAGCTTAAAAGAGAAGATATAATCATTGTACAAGTATTTAAATACGTATCTGAATTTCATGTTTGCCTAAATTATCTTAACTATGGTGATGTTTTTATACATTCTGGATTTTTTTATGCTTCGGGAATAATTTTTACTATACAGTCTGTACTTTTTTCTTTCCCACCATTAGTTTTTTTGCAGTCCATTTCAATGGAAGGCAAGATTCTCTCTTGAGAGTTTTACTGAAGAGAATAAGACGAAGTTTAAAAAGCTTAGCACTGGTGTTCAGGTTTAAAATACCGTAAATCCCTCAGTTAAGGCAGAAACCTTTTCAATGTGATGTCCCAATTGATAAGAGAGGAAGGTCAGAGTGGCTGGGATGTGACTCTAAAATTCTGAACATATTGAGTTCAAGTTCTGAAAGCAAGCTGGGTGTCCTTGTCTCTCAGCCCAATTCACCTCACAGGGTTGTTGTTGGGAAAATAGGAGGAAGAGAAAGGTGTGTTGGATGTGTTTGCTGTCTTGAGTTATTTGTAAAAATAATAAAGGCGAGATATAAATAAATAAATATTACAGTGTTGTTTAATTTGATGTGAATAATATTTAGCAATATTGGACATCCACATGTCCAAGTACGTCAGCTAGGGTGGGCATGCTTCTAGTCCTTTCTCCAAATATTGTCATCTAATGAATCTTTCTGGCTCTGTAGATCAGCAGCACCTAGGTGGCTGGCGGGGGAGGGGTGGTTTCACATTTGTGCCTGCCACTTGTGCAAATGGAGCTTTGCACACTCGCCTGCCACTTGCACGGACCAGTTCCCAACGTGCCATGGACCAGTATCAGTCTGTGGACCAGGGTTTGGGGACCCCTGTCTAATGGGAAGTAGGAAGTGGTGGCAGCCCCTGCCTTATGGCAAGTGTTCCCAACCCCCCAGCCTGTGGACCAGCATTGGTCCGCGGCATGCAAGAAACTGGGCTGAGCAAACAAGCGAAGCCCCATCCACGGGATGCAGGCAGCGTGTGAAACTACGCCCCTTCCGGTCTGCGGAAAAACCTCTCTCCATGGAACCGGTCCCTGGTGCCCAAAAGGTGGGGGGGGGGCACTGCCTTATGGAATACTTTGCCTTCTGAAGTTTAGTCCCACCCTCCTACCTTTCCATAAAACTTTAAAGATCTGGCTTTTCCCTCAGGTGCTGGAATATGATTGGATAATGGGACATTAGAAGGTTGACTTGGTGCCAGGTCTTTGTTGTTTTTAATGTTTTAATCGGTTTAATTTTATAGTTTTAATACATTATTGCATGTTGTTTTAACTTTTGATTGGGTGGCATTCAAGACTTGTTGGAAGATGGGTGGCTATATAAATGTTTTAAATAAATAAATTCAGCAAATAAATATCCTTATGCCACACAAAAATCTAGATAAGTGAGCTGTTGATTTCAAACTTTTTTAATGACTTTAACTTCCATTTTAAATTGTAGCATAGCTTTAATGGGGGCTAATTGGTTTTTTTGACTGGCAAGCATATTAACAGAACATATAATTATGTAACAGTGAACATTTGACTAACATGGCAAAAAATAATCTTTTAATATACTCTTGGGAACATCAGTACCATGCCATTTCTCATGAAGTATCAGATGTTTCAAGGCAGATAGCAGTTAATACAATTCTAACAAGCACTGTTAAAAATTCTAAAAACCCAAATCCTATTCACTGTTGTGACTCAAAATAAATTTTTAAACTGGTGGCAGAAACTTAAGGCATAGTTAGCAATGAATTGGGTTGCGATTGCTCAGTGGTTCAAGACATTGAGTTTGTCATCTCAAAAGCTGACAGGCTGGGTTCGAGACCTAAGCACTGCGCAGTAGGGTGGCTCCTGTTCCTGCCCCAGCTCCTGCCCATCTAGCAGCTTGAAAGCACACAAATGCAAGAAGATTAATAGATACCACTTTGGTGGGAAGGGAACAGTATAGCCATGCTGGCCACATGAGCACAGAAAATGTCTTTGGACAACGCTGGCTCTCTTGGCTGAGAAATAGAGATGAGCACTGTGCCCTAGAGCAGAGGTCCCCAGCCTAAGGGCCGTGGCCCACTACTGGGCCATGGCCTCTTGGCCACCGGGCCGCGTGAGTGGCGGGCCAGTGCACACACGCATGTGCGTGCGCTCATCCCCATCCTTGTGCTGGCGCTAGCCGTGAGCCTCTCGCCGGCGCTAACTGAGCCGTGAGCCTCTCGCCGGCGCTAACCAAGTCACGAGCCACATGCTGGCCCTAGGAGAGCTACAAGCCATGCGCCGGTGCTAGGAAAGCCACGTGCTGGCGCTAGAAGAGCTGGGAGCCTCTTGCTGGCACTAGGAGAGCCATAAGCCTCTCGCCGGTGCTGGGCGAGCCGCATGCTGATGCTAGCACCCCATTGCAATGCCGCATGCTCACGGCCCCATTTGCACACACACCGTCATATTTGCGTGTGCGCGCATAAAGGTGCCTGTCCCTCCCTTTCCCACCAGGCCACCCACCCAGAAAGGTTGGCGACCCCTGTCCTAGAGTCAGACATGACTGGACAGGGAAACCTTTACCTTTACCTTAGCAGTAAATTAAAATGTTTGTTTCTCTTTCAATATTTTGAAAAATTATATCAAGATTTTCATGTACAAGTGTAATTTTTTAAGTAAATATTGTCAGATATGGTGATAACTGCAACACTCCCAACAGGGTTCATATTAAACTGCCTGAAGACAATTACTATAAATACATGGGACAGCTCTGCTGATACCTTTATGAATGCCACAACTACATAATGCTTTTCAATCTATTGATATGCCATTAGGAGAAAGAGATAGCCTTATGAATTATAGCTACGTATGATGTTACTTATGGTTAGGGTGTAGACTAGCAGAGTTCCTTCCTTCCTTTCTTCCTCCCTCCCTCCCTTCCCTTCCCTTCCCTTCCTTTCCCTTCCCTGCCTTCTATTTAGCCCACATTTATTATTTTTATAAATAACTCAAGGCAGCGAACATACCTAATACACCTTCTTCCTTCTATTTTCTCAACAACAACAACAATTCTATGTGATGACTTGTGCTGAGAGAGGGTGAGAGGCCCAAATTTGCCAAATTTCAATGTAAGGCAGGACTAGAACTCAGAATCTCTTGGTTTTTAGCCTGAGGCCTTAACCACAGATTGAACTGGCTCTGCGTAGCTAGGAGAGCCTCATAAAAGAACAAATTTCACAATTGTAATAAACACAATGTTTCTGGTTAAATACCACTACCAACATTCATTTGCCTTCAATGCATATAACTGCACAAATGTCTTTTTCGCTAAATAAGAGGGACAATAATATCTCTGTTTCTAAGTGTAGCCTAAGAATTAAGATATTCAAGGGGACTAACTTGTAGACAGAAAACATGTGGCTTCCAATGTTTTCAAGTCCATAAGAAATATTCTGCTTGAAGATCAAAACAACTGTGCCAGAAAACAATATGGAGGGAAACGGACCTGTAGATTGATCCAACAGCTGAATTTATCCAAGTTGCAAAGACATAATATGGTTTCTATGATTTTGTTTTTGTGAACTCAGCCCGTAAACCATGGTTTGTGGGGCAAACCATGGGATAACATAGATGCTCATCTAGATGCTCATCCTCCTCCAATAAATAAATCTAATTCTTTTGGTGGGATTAGGGTTGGATAAGAAATAAGTATAAAAATCATTTTTAATAATAAACTTTATTCTATATTTCACAAGAATTTTTCAGCTTTGTGGGCTAACACAAGCATAGCAGGGAGTGAGCCTCGACAATGCTCAAGCTTTTCCTGATTAGACTGTAAAAAAATCTGTGACCACAACTCCCCTTCCCTCCCTCCCCCCCCCCACAGTTGCTCCCGATTCTTGGAGTGTGATCCATAGTTTGAGTGACTCTGGCTTAGCGTAATGTGTTAATTGAGTCTGTGACAACATTTATGTAACACAATCAAGCCATAGAGCAGTTGACTTGTTTGTGTACAAACATATCTCTACAGCCAGTTCCTGCATACTTGTTTGTGGCTTATCATGTTGTGTGAAATGAACCCTGATTAAAATAAAGCTTAGCATATGAAGTATGAATTTAATCTTATTTCTTTTTAGCATTTTTGAATGTAGATTTGATAATATTTGCATAATATTTGAAAAATACACTATCCCTGCTTTTTTTCAACAGTCAAAGCTGGAGGCATGAGAATTTCTAAGAAGCTAGAAAATGCACCTGTTGAAAGAAGTTCTAAACTCCCTGGAAAAGAGAAGACTAGGTATATGATCTTTCTTGTTGGTGTGGAATTTTTGTTGTTTTTTTTTAAATTTCTATTGAACAGTAAATGAATTAGGGCATAACGGAAAGTTTTACTTGGTAAATAGCACTTCAACAGCAAAATGAAAATTCTATGAAACAATTCAGAGAGAAAAACAAGTACAGCGAGGTCACTGGTCCTCTTTGAGCGTGGTTATTTGCTTGCAGATGTTTCATTATTCAACTAGGTAACATCACCAGTGCAAGTGAGTGTGGGGTTTGCTCTGTGTTTAAATTCAGTGGCTTACCTCAGGGGTCCCCAACCTATGAGCCGTGGCCCAGGATTGGGCTGTGGGCTCTTGGCCAGTGGGCTGTGAAAATGGCTGGCCGGTGCGCGCACTTGTGCTAGCGCCCATGGCCCCATTTGCACATGTGCACAGGCACAAACAGGGCCACTAGCACTGGGCAGGTTGTGCAGCCTGTTTGCGCATGTGCAAATGGGGCCACTAACCACCATGGGGATATGCAGCCGTTCACGCATGTGCACGATGCCAGCACATGCTGCATGTGTGAATGGGGCCGCTAGTGCTGTGCCAGTGCGCGTGGCCTCATTTGCGTTCGTGCACACGCACCAATTAGAAAGCTGTTCTCCTTCCCTCCGGGCCGCGATCCCGGAATGGTTGGAGACCTCTGGCTTACCTTACCAATTTTGATGGGGGTATGATTTTCTCTTTAGTAGTTCCTTGATTAGGGTATTGTTTTGGCCTCGTTCTTACATAGCTCCTCTTGTGGGAAGTTATTACTTTGGTAATGGAGCACTTGGCTATTACCAAAGTACCCAACCATAAGTACTCACTCCTCCTACATGAGAGGGGTTGTGTAAGGATATTGTTCAGACAAGTACAAATGCATTGTAGCAATCCAGAATACCAAAGACACCAAAGAGTCACAATTCAACCCTAGCTACATATATTCTCTTCTATTGGAACATGAGACATATTCAAGCCTAGGAAATTGTGTGCGGATAGCTGTTTTAACTGTTCAAAATTAATGACCTTCTAAACTTCCATTTTTAAAATAACTTTGTAGCTGCTCGGCCTTTACGTGCAGGGATAAATGTAAACTGCTACACTACCAAAGATTGTTTCTGGCATTTACTTAATTCTCACTTCCTCAGGAATGTGCACTGGAAAATTTTCATTGTTACCTATCTCTTCCTTTCAGTTGTAAAGTGTTTGTAACTGTTTCAGTACATTACAACGTTTTGAGCTACATCTTAAACATTAGAATGATGGCCTTTATCACTACTGCCTAAAATTCCACAGCCATTAAAAATACATTTGTTCCTTAGTGTGTGTTTTATTATTGGGGGCATACATGCTACTTGTGGTAAAATTCATAAAGCATTCATTCTATTATTTGAAAAACAGTATATACATTAAACCTTAAAATAATGTTTAAATAAAAGCTGAGGAGATGTACTTTATGTAACAGTGCTGAAGGTTTTTTATTATTATTTTCTCTGGAACTAACAGCATTTTTTAAATAAATCTCTCACACAAAAAATAACTGTTTTAGTTTTTTCTTTAATCTTATAATCCTATTCCCAGACTTAGGCTAAACTATTATCACTGATTTTCCTTTCCACTCATGAGCAAGATAGAATTTGCTCTCTTTAATTATTGCCTTTTATAGTAGAAAACATTTTAAAATGTGTTTGAAATGTGCCACTGTACATTGTTATTCTAATTTCACAGCTGCTTACTAGTCATAATTAAGGGGTGATTATGTTTGTGATCCAAATAATCTGTAAAACCTCAGCCATTTTGGGGTTTACATCCCTAAGACAAGGGCTGAATCAACAATGCTGGAGTTGCGCTTAACCTTTTTAATCGCTAGTTAAATAAGAGCCAGTTACTATATCAAAGAAGGGAAGTCTGGGGAAGAAGACCAGAAACGTATAATTGGTTGTGGCTTACCTGTGAGCATAAAACATAGGTGCTGCAAAACGTTTATCAAACTCCCCACCCTCAGACATCATAATTTTCACTGGGGAATCTTTTCCTGAGACTATTCAGTGACTCAGGCATTTTTTAAAAATCAAAATACTACTTTTTCCCTGCAAGATCGGCTCTTATCAATAACCTTATTGTACTAATCATTGATCACAACAGGTTAATTTTCTATAGATGATTTTCAGTGCAAATGTTGTAATGAAATTATATATGTTTCACCCAATATAAAAAGTTCCACGTTTATCCTATATCAGCGGTTCTCAACCTATGGGTCGCGACCCCATTTGGGGTCGATCGACCATTTCACGGGGGTCGCCAAGCAAGGCTGTCCGCCATTTTTTCCCCCTTTTCCGGCAGGTGCCTTACCTCCCTTGAGCTGGGCCAGCTGGTGGTCAGCCTGCTCCGTCTCTGCCGCTTGCCAGCTACGCCTCGGCCGGCGCAGGGGGCGGAACCACGCATGTGCGGCACTCCCGGGCAGGGAAAGTCCTCGACTTACGACCAGTTGGGTAGTCCTCGACTTACGACCGGTTTAGTCCTCAACTTACGACCGGTTTAGTCCTCAACTTGCGACCCATTGGGGGTCGCGGCATTAAAAAGGTTGAGAACCACTGTCCTATATGGTTTCCTTACAGTGACTGGTTTACACATCAAGTTAAAGTATTATGATAGCAGGACTATGGCACCGAGAAGCTCAAGTGTTATTTAAGAGGAATAAAAATGGAATGTACAAGAGGCCAGATGCTCAGTGTCATCTGATTTAATCATAAATTTGGGGAGGGGGGACTTAATTGGTAATATCAAAAACTTTTCTATTTCTGCTTTGCAGCTCTGCTCCAGTTATAAAAGTACAGAGCATGAGTATCTTACTGGCAGATACCCTCCAGAAAGTAAGTATAGAGCAAAAAGCAATACTTCATTCAAGATTTTTCATTTGAATTGATAAGGACAATATCCAGAAGTAGGCATATATATTAATGTGCAGTAACACGAGTAAAAATTAGTATTATGATATTTTAATCCCTAGTGAATGGATCTGTTCTGAAGTAGTTTGCTGGCCTTGTTGCTTTATTAGTTTCTTTTCTCCATTGAAGATCCTCAACTAGTATATTTTATATATTTTTAAGTGTGGTAGGGAAGAGGGCAAAAATGTTGGACAAACTGCCATGGGATGTGAAAAATACAGTCAGTGATCTTTTTTATGAATTATATTACAATGGATGGAAGCTTATCAAGGAGAGAACCAACCTAGAAATAAGGAGAAATTTCCTGACAGTGAGAACAATTAATCAGTGGAACAGATTGCCTTCAAAAGTTGTGGGTGCTCCATCACTGGAGATTTTTAAGAAGACATTGGAGCCATTTATCCAGAATGGCATAGGTCTCCTGCTTAAGAAGGGGGTTGGACTAGAAGATTTCCAAGATCCCTTCTAACTCTGTTATTCTGTTATTAGTGAGTACTTCAAAATATGAATTGATGATAGGAACAGAATCATCTTGAGAGAGGCCAGTGTACTTTTTTTTTTTTTTTTTAGTAAATAACAGATTTAATTTGTCATTGTCAGATGATATGGTAAATGTTTATAAGATATGCAGTCAGGATATTGGATCTTACTGGGTGATTCTGTTATCAACTCTTACTATTGTGAATGGTTATTGTACTTACTTTGTATACACATACACTGTGCATAGAAGCTGTCCTATATGTATTGCAAACTAGGCATATGAAGGCAGGATTATATCACTGGTTTCTTTGTCATCCGGTCCCAAATTGCTGATAATGTAATAAGGGGATAGACAAAAACTAAAACAACAAGAGTCTTCCGGTGGCTCTAGACCGCTAATTTTTTCTGGCCTTCTAACTGACCTTTAATTTAGGATGGTGAATGGAAGCAGGGATCATATTGAGGAATCTGAAAAGAGGAACACTAAGGCAAGGATAGGATTGTAGGCCTGCTTTCTTGTTATTTTGCTACCTCCCTCCCTTCCTTCTGTAATATAGTAAAGGTGAAAGAGTCCCTGCGGTCCTTGCCAACTAGATGGGGTGGTCTCATCTCCATTTCAAGGTTATTGAGCCAGTGCTGTCCAAAAACATTTCTGCAGTCATGTAGCCTGTATAATGTCATGGAGTGCTGTTACCTTCCCACCAACGTGATACCTATTTATCTACTCACATTTACATGCTTTCATACTGCTAGGTTGGGAGGAGCTGGGGTGAGGACGGGAGTTCACCCTGTCATATGGCACACGGGTCTCAAACTTGGGCTGCTGGCTTTGAAGCCAACGAGCCCAGAGTCTTAACTGCTGAGCCACCCTACTTTGTATAATATAAATTAACTAAATATTTCCAGGAGGATTATTTTGTTTGTTCGTCCTAATATGGTATTCTTTTTTTATTCAGTATTAAAATTCTGAGGTATTTAAAAGTTTGCTGCTTCATTCTTCTCCTTTTTCTCATAGGCCGGTTTTCTTTAGGATCTCATCTTTAAATCTAGCTACCTATTAAGTGATCAGGAGCACTCTGAATATTTTGAAACTGAGCCATCAGTTTGATATGTAACTAATAAGGGAGGTCTTTTGTTAGGTTGGATTTGAACATGGATGATTTGTAAGCAACAATTAAAATTGTTTCTTCTTTTTTAACTCCTGCAGCTGAGGCATAAATTTCCAGCCACCGCAGCACAAGGAGCATATGAGAAGCCACGACCTACTCTGGAAAAAATTATATTGCCCAAACGAATGTGCATTATTCAGCAGCCTCGGAAATGTTAAACATGTAGAATAAAATATTCATATATTTGACAGACCTGCACTTAACAAAAACACCAGTTAGCTAGGCAAGCAGTAAATAGACCAAATTGCTCAGGCATTTTGTTTTTCTCGCAATAAAAACTGTATATATTCCATTGTTGTTGTTTTTTCTTGAAATGATTTTTGTTTTAGTATGGCTTCTTAGTGACCACAAACCCTTATTTTACCATTTTTCACCATGTTATTATAGCAATTACAGCTTGGAATAGAGAAGCACTTTTCTGAAACTATATCTGCTAGAGTGGCAGAAATGTTCTAGCCTCATTATGTGTCCTTTAAAAAAAAAAAGCAAACAAAACCATTACGAATGTGGATATATAGAGAAAAACAGAGGACAGTAGAACTTTCATAACTTCTGTATTTAAACTTAGATACCAATTGTTATTAATAAACTAATTGTTTCCTGATAATAGTCCAGGTTCACTAAGGATAAGGATAAATAGGGACACTTTGTTTCTCAGGATACTGTTAGGTTGGTTTGGAGAGAGAAAAAGAAAATTATTAGTTGTTGTAATGATGAGTCTATTAACCAGCACATGAAAAATTAATTCTTTTGCACACAAACAATTTACTTACTCCTTAGAAACTAGGTTTAGTTTATATGTAATAGTTTCGGCTATGTCAAGGAGCATGCATCTTTAATGGCCTTGATTTCTATTCCAAAGGGTCCAGGTTCATAAAAGTTATATTCTGATGCAACCAGCAATAGTGCCTTAGAATAACAGCAAAAAAAGATAATAAAATTTGTAGAAAAGTAGGTGACACACCAAACAAAAAAATTAAGTTCTTCTATTTGGATGTCTCTCAATCTTAGTGCTTAGGACTGATTAACAATGATTTAATATAATGTATCTTTTAGAAACCTTCAGGTAAAATCCACTCTATCCCATTTATATCTTCCTTTTTTCCCTCCAGGAACTCAAGGCTATGTATGTGATTCTTCATTCTCCAATACTATTGACCCACAACCCTGTGAGGCTGAGGGTTTCATGCCCGAGTGAGAATTTGAATGTAATCCAACAAGCATAAGCAATAATTCTTAACTGAGTAGGAAGTCAGCTTAAATGTAAGTGAACCTGGATAAAAACTGCCTTTGCCTGCTAATGGAAGAGCAGCTAACCTACTTTCCCTTTATACAGAATCCTACCCCCTTATGACACAAGGCCTATTGGATACATGATTGACAATATTTGTCTGGGAAAAAAATGAAAACAGACAAACAAGATAAAAATAGATTAACACAGAGAAATAAACATTGAAAGAGGTGGGAAAACCTACACTATTTGGGACTGGGCTACTACAGCTACTTTTAAAGAAAAATGTAAAACTCTACATTTCTGCCCAGAAAGACATTTGTGCTAATAAAGGAGAATATAGCTCAGGGTTGACATGAGGAGTCCTTGGTGCTCTATGAGCTTGCTTGTTTGTTTGGTTTGGTTTGGTTTTTTTTGCTGACCAGCACTAGCCCTGATGATGTTACCTAGTTTGAGGAATGAAACATCTGCAAGAAAACAAGCAGACTCAGAGAGCACCAAAGACATTTGTGCAGATGTAAGCTATTTAAGACATTGAGAGTATCTTTGAATAAAACAATCCTTAATTATAATATGACTCAACGCTCTACTGTTGTCTTAATTCTCCCAAATAGTACTAATCCAAATAAAGATGTGCAGTTGTCAGTCTTGTAAGAATGGGTCAACAGGTTTTAATAGCATCCTCATAAATCTTCAAAACTGCATTTGTTGATTTTTTTTTAATAAAATGTGATATCTCCCAAAATCGGCTTCTTTGTCATTAAAAATTGGTATCAGCCATTGTGATGCCATTTTTTTTTCCAAACAAAATATCAGAAATTAAATAGAACAAACCTTAATGTCTTCAGACTGGTGTCTAGGAAAGCTGTGCTTAAGTGCCTAAAATCTTATACCAGTGATGGTGAACCTTTTAGAGACCGAGTGCCCAAAAACTGGCCCCGCCCCGCTCTGTCCCACCCTGCCTGCCCGCAGGGCCACTCACCACCTCCAGGGCCCATCGCAGATCACCCAGGCAGCCCAGCAGCACCATGGCAGCCACGGCCTCTGCCCACACCCCGCAGCATCAACTGTGCCTGTTGGGGTGTGAGGGCAGAGTCTTGTCTACGCTGCCTGGCTGCCATATCCTTGGCTGCGCTGCTCCGCGTGGGCCACGCTCGGTGATTCTCCTCCAGGGGGGTTGCTGGTGAGGGGGTCGCGGGCGGAGGCAAGGCTGAGGCAACGGCACGTGTGCCCACAGAGAGGGCTCCGAGTGCCGCCTCTGGCACCTGTGCCATAGGTTCGCCACCACTGTCTTATATGTATAATTTTCAATAACTCAACAGACTTTTTTTTTCTTTTAAGAATTTGGAACAGGTTACTTTAGCCTTGAAAAGAACATAGTAGAGAAATAAAAAGGGAGTCTTTTTAAAGCTATTTGCATTTTCAGGAGAACAAACATAAACATAAACATAAAAGGGAATAAGGAGAAAGTTATTTTCTTTTTCTTTCTTTTTTGTCTTACAACTTCTTGCTCTTTTGCATGATGAGCATGAATTCAAGTAGGCAGAAATCTAGAATCTAGAATCTAGGCTAGAATGGATTCTGCAGAAGTTCATTTTGACAAATGAAAAACATGTTATTAGCTTAGGAATGAATGCAGTGGTTCTCAGAAATTCTACAAATAGCCCTTTTTGCATGATCTCATCTGCTGAAAAGCTCCCAGCCTTCTGCTAGGAAACCTCAGCATATTGCAGAAAATGAGGTCACATTTTCTAAAATGCAATTGGAATTCATGCTGGGAAATTCTTTGCATCATATGAAATGAGTGATATGCAACATCAAGAAAATGGATTTCCACTGTCTTGTTCTTGACTTTAAAAAAAGTCATCGATAAAGCATATTGAGTTTAACAGTGCAGCCACTTAAAGTCTCTTGTCTAAGTCAAAATTCTGTCCATTGGTATGCTTTCATGGGTATCCAGCACCTTTTTCCAAACCAAACTGGAGTCTTTATTTTTAATCTTTCGAAAATGTTTGACTGAAAATCTCTTGTTTAAATTAAACTTTTGCCCTAACAGCATGCTTTAATTTGTACTTAGCACCTTTTCTGATACTATAATCCTGTACAACTCCATGATCACAATATAGTTAGATATTATTGACTGATTAAATCAAAACAAGACTGTTTCTCCAACAATGGGTGTGTTTGCATAGATTTTATGATTGTTGCATTTGTAATCTGGCTTTCTCTGTATTGCCAAATGACAACTGCCAGCTGTCCCACCCACAACAGCCATTGCCATAGTGAATTAAGCTTCTGGAAATCATAGTTTGGCTTATTTGGAAGACAGAGAATCTTCATTTCTTGGAATGGCTATTTCGTCATCCCAATTCTCTTCCATTTAATTTGGTACACAGTATTAATTTAATGTGCTGTGGAACAATTTTCAAAAGTTAAGGAAAGCAGGTTGTTGCAGGAGTAGACAACTTGTAGGTCTCCAGATTGCTGAAACACAGCCTCCAGCTCTACCTCTCATTGGTTATCAGGCTTTTAATGGCTGGCATCGTACTTCAATAACGTATGTAGGTCATCAGGTGTCTCATTTCTACATTCAGTCTTATGAATTAGATGGTATTTCACATCTACAGCCTGAAATATTACTGCATTTAGATATTTAGTCACATTCTTTGTATTATCCAATCAACAACATTTCATAACCATCTCACAGAATTAAGATCTTGCGCATATAAATATATAATGGATGACAAACGATTTCAGCAACTCTTGGAATTTATCCCAACGCTGAAAATGAATCAAAATTATTTTAAATAACTCTTTTTTTCTTGAGTATATTTCAAGGGTGCTCTTGTTTTTACACAAGAGCTTTTCAATATTTTTAACCATTGCCTCCAAGCCTTTATTTTTACTGAACCAAAATAATCTTGCCATTATTTACCCAGTGTTTTAATCAGATTAGCTATCACTTTGGCATATTTTTGTTTTGTTTTGATATGGCATTATTCAGTAATTAGTCGTCTACTCTAGATTTTATTATTTTATTTTGTTACCACCAGAGGGCAGTATATGCCTACAATATATATACAATTCAAATAGTTTGAAGTTACCCTTTGGACTAGATACTGTCTTTTTCCCACTCTTGACATTTCTGTTCAGTCTGTAAACATAAAACTGTTGATTGCAACAGTTAAGAAAACTTTGTATTTCATAATATATTGAACTTTGCATTAAGCTCTCTCCCTTCCTCTCTATGTGCATGTACAAATAATTAATTAAAAGTGGGCCATGATACAATGAATAGTTTTAAATACATGAATATGCTTAAGTTTCTTGGAAATCAGAATTACTCTGTAGTAGGATGGGTGGCCAATAAATTTAATAAATAAATAAATAAATCACTTAATGCCTTTATCACTTTTATATGTTAATATCTTGTTTTAGGCAAAAAAAAATGGAAACAAAATGAACTTTTTAAAAACTGATGAGCTTAGGTGATTTTGCCTTTATGTCATTTTGAAATAATATGCCAGCCTTCCAAACAAAAGGCTGTAATTTTACATGTACATAAAATGGATATAGTGGAGTTACACCCATGTCTGTATGTACAGAATTGTACTCTATATTGTTTATTGCTCAAGTTGATATTTCAGTGTATAATATTTGTGGGTTGATATAACGTTTGTAAGTCAATATACTTTTATAAAGTTTAAATTGTACTGATTTTATTATACGCATTTTAGGACTGGGAATGTTTTCATTGTAGTAAATCCAGTTGATTTTAAAAAGTAGTACTGTATATAAATGCATGAAATAAATAACATTCTGTCTTCACGGATTGGCTGCCTTAATTCTTTCCTTAAGCTTCTCTTGACACTCTCTGTTTAGAATATTTCAACAAGTTACTGGGCTCAGAATTGTCAGCATGTTGGGTATGGTTCTTTCCTCCTTAAATACATCATGAAATGTACCAGCTTACATTCAGAAACATTTCACTTTAACTGATTTTATTTGACAACTGATGGGGAAGAGATGAAGTACTGTATATAGATTGGGGCCTCCTGG